AGATAAGTGGCTTGGTGCTACAGAGTCTGCATTCCTTATGTCAAAGAAGACAACTGCTGTTGATCTTAGAATGATTGATGGACAGGATATACTGACTTGGGGTAAAGGGTAATAACATCAAAGAAGGTAATGCCCACTGATGGGTACCAGATGTTCGTGAAGAAATGTGTAACAGAGTGTATATACGCTGAGAGGATGTCTTTGTTCTAGGTGAGATCGGAAAAGCAAGAGGCAAAGCTCTGTCCTTCTGTTATAACGAACCATGGTACCATATTAAATATCTTATCTGAACTCCCCATCAAAAGTTTTTTAGTATATCCTTACATTTTTAATTACTTGATACCCGAGAAACTCATCATAACACTTTCCAAGTGCAACTCTGCAACATAAACTCCAACAGTGTTTTCATTGTTTATGTCAATGGACATTACTGAAATTAAAGTTTTATTTGATGTAAATTATTCATACTCATTTATATTTTAGTATTCAACTGTTATCTACTTTCTCAAAACATAAGATTAATCTGTAAAACAAATTATGAGACATTATTTGGTTACAACACTGAATACATTGGTGAAGAACCATTTTTTAAGAGTCCACAGGAGGGCGCACCATGCTACGCAATGAAAAGTCATTATTTTTTACCGGAAGGCTAGCCAACAATTCAACTATCTAGTAAACACTTCGGATATGTGGTTGGTGTCTCTTTTTTGAACAAAATTAAACGGATATATCTTGTAATTGAAAAAAATAGTAAGGTGGCCAATAACTGGGGACCGTATGCCGATAATACGGGACGTATTTATTTGCTAAACCGTTTATCAAAAAGCTGATAAAAGTAGTATTTCCACTGAAATGTCAAACATGCTAATTGCTAACCCGTTAGCTAACATTTTTACGACACCAATAATCACATAACATTGATGGCTTGATCACAAGATAACACTGTTGAAGGTAATATATTTCTTAAACGCTGTTGAATATGCCGATAATACGGGGTTCCACGCTACCATTTTCAAGGCTGGGTTTGTTACTCTGGCCTGCCTGCCTGCCTGGTGTGGTTGTGTGTTGTGTATGTGTGTGTGTGTGTGTGTGTGTGTGTGTGTGTGTGTGTGTGTGTGTGTGTGTGTGTGTGTGTGTGTGTGTGTGTGTGTGTGTGTGTGTGCGTGTGTGCCTGCCCAGTGGATAAATCCAGAATAATACTGTTTGTCTGCATCCAGAGAGAAAGAAAGGCCTATTGGTCGGCTGGTCGGATGTCACGTTCATGTTTGGTGGGTTTGTTGTGTTGTTTAGGCAATGGGCAGACCAGTCAGTGTGTATTTGTGTGTTTAGGCAATGGGCAGACCAGTCAGTGTGTATTTGTGTGTTTAGGCAATGGGCAGACCAGTCAGTGTGTATTTGTGTGTTCGTGTGTGTTTAGGCACTGGGCAGACCAGTCAGTGTGTATTTGGGCACTGGGCAGACCAGTCAGTGTGTGTTTAGACACTGGGCAGACCAGTCAGTATAGCCTGGCACTGGGAATGTTTTTACCACATAATGACAGCCCACAACCCAGCACACAGGAAGATGGTATTTGAGTAATGTACAGAGTAAGCTGTTCACTAATGTGTTAGATGTTTAGAATAATGTATGGGCTCCATTCAATCCATAGCGCTGAATCAAATCAAATCAAATTGTTACTCATCTCTTAAACAACAGGTGCAGACCAACAGTGAAATGCTTTACGGGCCCTTCCCAACAATGCAGAGAGAAAGATCGATAAATAATAATGAAATCATAATGCTGAGTATCTGCATTGTAGCGTGATTGACATTTAAAGGCAAAGTTCCTGTGTTAGAGGAGGACTAAACGCTGCATATGTTTACTCAATCGGCAATGACCTTTACATTTCAAGCGTGCTATAACGCGGAACTTCCACAGTACGGATTGAACCGAGCCATCTGTGTGTGTGTGTGTGTGTGTGTGTACATGCATTATGCTGGTGGAGGAGTGTGTTCACTAATGTGTGAGATGTGTATACCAGTAGATATATCATGATCATGATATCATAATACATCATGATACCAGTAGCATTATGTATGTTACAGTGTATTAGTATACATAGTCCTATAGATACATCATGATACCAGTAGTCCTATAGATACATCATGGTACCAGTAGTCCTATATATACATCATGATACCAGTAGTCCTATAGATACATCATGGTACCAGTAGTCCTATAGATACATCATGGTACCAGTAGTCCTATAGATACATCATGATACCAGTAGTCCTATAGATACATCATGATACCAGTAGTCCTATAGATACATCATGGTACCAGTAGTCCTATAGATACATCATGGTACCAGTAGTCCTATAGATACATCATGATACCAGTAGTCCTATAGATACATCATGGTACCAGTAGTCCTATAGATACATCATGTACCAGTAGTCCTATAGATACATCATGTACCAGTAGTCCTATAGTACATCATGGTACCAGTAGTCCTATAGATACATCATGATACCAGTAGTCCTATAGATACATCATGATACCAGTAGTTCTATAGATACATAATGTGGGCAGTTATGTATAACTTGATGTACTCATCATCCAATCTATAGACTGAGATACATTAATCATATGCCTACTGTCCAGTATCATAGATACATCATGTACCAGTAGTCCTATAGATACATCATGATACCAGTAGTCCTATAGATACATCATGGTACCAGTAGTCCTATAGATACATCATGGTACCAGTAGTCCTATAGATACATCATGATACCAGTAGTCCTATATTTACATCATGGTACCAGTAGTCCTATAGATACATCATGATACCAGTAGTCCTATAGATACATCATGATACCAGTAGTTCTATAGATACATAATGTGGGGAGTTATGTACTTAATAACTGTGCTATGTACTCATCAATCCACATATAGACTGAGATGCATTCTAACATCATTCATCTCTGCTCTGGAAGAACATGACTTTCAGTTCATCCAGAAACCAGGCTGCCGTGTTTGATCACTGTCTTGCCGTTGTAGGTTCATGTACTCTGGGTTTGAAATGGTTTCCTCAGTTTATAATGACATATTATTGATTCCTGTCACAAAGAGATAGCTCTTCTCATGACACAGAAGGAGAGAAAGAGAGATAGTAATAGAGATGAAGGGAGAGAGAGAGAGACATAGAGAGGAAAAGATAGAGAGAGAGACAGGGAGAGGAAAAAACATATATATATATAGAGAGAGAGAGAGAGAGAGAGAAAGAGAGACAGACAGAGAGAGGAAAAGATAGAGAGAGAGAGACAGAGAGAGGGAAAAAATATATATATAGAGAGAGAGAGACAGAGACAGAGAGAGAGAGAGAGAGAGAGAGAGAGAGAGAGAGAGAGAGAGAGAGAGAGAGAGAGAGAGAGAGAGAGAGAGAGAGAATGAGAACAGTGTGTTCAGATGCCAATGAAGATGTCAATGAGATTCTCAATCAGTGTATATGGGAGACGGTCGGAGGCAGCAGATGGTTCTGTAGAAATATTGATCCAGGCCAAACCCTCACACTATCTAACTGCTCAATAACCAGCCATGAAATAAAACAACATTTTCTCATCCTGTATTTCAGAAGGCTGTAGTGGTACTGGAAGGGAGTTATATAGTTGACATGTGGCCTGTACATTGTACGTTGCAAAACAGGCAATTTCCTTTCAGATGAGATGAGAGATGCATAGCTTACACACTCTTGGAGTGATGACTGAAGGCATTGCTGTGTGTGTGTGCGTGCGTGCGTGTATTTGAATAAACTCCACCATGCAGGTAAACATACGTTCATGCAATTACAAACACACAAAAATCATTTTTTTCTGTACAGGTTTATTTACAAAATTTATGAAAATTCTCTGTACAGCTCCTCACTAGTGAAGATCATTAATGATATACACACATGCAGATTCTGACTCTTTTGTAGTAGTCACTAAGCTGCTTGGCAATTATCTCTGTGTGAAGTGAACTTACAAAACAAAAGAAACTGTCTCACTAAAGAATAACCGTGGTTGTATTTCTCCTGCTGATCTAGAATCGGATGTAAGTTAGAAGTCATTGCTGATTTTACATGCAGTTTCTTAGAAAAATTGGGAAACCCATTACTCCTTTCTTGTGTAGCCTTAATAAATACATCTAATTTAAATAAATGTACACATCTCTTTCTTTACAAATGTTTATTTCATATTTCTTGCCTTCCCTTTGTAAGAATTGCTTTTCTTTTTTTTGTGTAAAACTATCTTTCCACAGTTTTAGGTGATTAATTGTCTTCCTAAATCCTATAGAATCACAGTCTTTTGAAAGGAAAAAGGAAAATGGAAATGTGCTAAGCGTTTAAGACATCCCCTGTAAGTACCTTGTATAAATCTATTTTCTCATTGTAATTATCTATATTATTCATTTATTTCATTAACTAAGTAAATTCACCAAACACTACAATGCTCATAAAATGAAATTAAAAATTGAAAGCAAATCATCAAACCGCAGCTTATTCTTAAATACGAAGGTCATCCAAAATACTACTGTTAAAAAGCCATTACTGTTTGAATTGCAGTTAATCTACTTTTGAATGTCCCTTTTGGTTTGGTTTTAATTTCTTGTACAGAAGACTTGAATGATTTTAGGTTACATGAAAATCCAGTTATAAGCAGGTGTTCTTTCAGAATGAAAAACAAATAGCCTATGTTGGAGTGATGCTGTGTGAGTGAGTTTTCACTTCATATTCTACAAACCATAAAACACACTGGGAGAGTCACTCAACTATGACACTTGCTCAGACAGTCATCTGCATGCCTTAATAAACCCATCTGAATCTGTTGGCAGTGTATTGGGATCGTGAGATGTGAGATGGCCTGTTTTAATTGTGTGAAGCCAAATGCTGCATCTCACATTAATCTCGTTCAAGAGTCCTCGTGGGTGCGTCCAGAATGGCACCCTATTCCCTATATGGTTCACTACTTTTGACCAGGGGCTCTGGTCAGTAGTGCACTATATAGGGAATAGGTTGCCATTTCAGATGCACTACCAATGCCTGCTCTCAGAGTCTATTTCTGAGACTTCAGAAGCATCATAGTCGAGGACAACAACAATACAATATTATTTTGGCTATGGCATATTTAACCAATTGATTCCAATAAGATTCATCTTTCAAAACAATTCCAAGGTCACAGCAATATAAAAAGCTATCTTCTAATAATCAGTGACTTACTGTACAGTGCCTACAATAAACATATTTTAAAACACATTTAACCAGTAAAAACCTGGCCTGCAAGAAGAATTAGGATAATCTGATCAAATTCCCTCAGCAGAAAAAACTATTTATCTTATGTAATATCGTATTCATCTTCTGTCCGGCACTTGGAAATGTGCTTGGGGTGCGAATGATGGCTTTAGACCTCTTTCTTTTCTCCTCTGATTTCGTCACAACATCTCAAATAAAGTTCCTTACAACAGATTACAGTATCGATCCTGTCTTTCTGTTTATTTGTCTGATTAGTTGATAAATTGTTTGTGGGTTTGTGAGTTCAAGCCAAACGTGATACCATTGTGATGAGTTGTTCTAAGTCATTCTGTGAGTCTGTGAGTGTTCCATACATAAGGCACTGGAGGAAACCGATTGAGTTCTTCACGTCACCAGTCCTGTCGTGTCTTCATTGCAGATTATCGTCGCCATTGCCGCCAGGAGAGGATTTAGCTGCAGATGAGGAAACCCCCATCCTGACGTGATCCTGTCATTTCATCATAGGGTCAATAGTCACAGTCGTTCGTAAGGGTCTAGCTGATGCACCTGATATCTGTTTTAGAGGAACTAGAGACATAGGGAGAATCTCAATTCCATTTCCTTGATTCCTCACGTCCTCTCTCCTTCCCTCCTTCTCAAAACCAATTGGATGAAAAGTCAGTGGTCCCTCCCCTCTGACCTTCTCATCCAATGAGTTTTGAGGAGAGAGGACGTGAGGAATCAATGAAATGCAATTGAGATTCTCACACAGTGACACATGGGTAATAGGCTGTTGAATGGTGGATGAGATGAGATGTGTCATTAGGTTGGAACGGTTGAGTCATGATGGTGTGTGCCAGTATTACTTGGGACATTAGCTTAGCTATTAGCGATTAGCAGATGCCGCTAGCACATTCTACTGAGTAAACTAAAACGTTAAGCTAGATAAAGTGTGAGTGTCCACGAGATAAAGAGTGTTTCAATGTTTTTTGATGGGTTACTCAAAAAAAAAAATGTAATGTTGATTTCAATTAACTGTTTGTGGTGTCAAGAACACCATAGTGCAAGTTTTGTTCTGGATTAAAAAAAAGGGGCTTAGGTGGTGGGTGAGGCAGGGCCGTGGAAGGAGGCGTGGCAGGCCCATTGAGGCGGCTGGATTAAAAAAAAATATTTAGAGGCCCCCATTTTGGCGGTGTAAAGAAATGTTTGCATTTTTAAGCCCATTTCCTGCAAATCTACATATTCTGCCACGGAACTGAGTGTCACGCTCTGGCTCCGGGACTTTGTATGTTGAGCCAGGGTGTGTTCGTTTCGTGGTGTTCTGTTTGGTTGGGTTGTTCTATGTGGTTGTATTTCTTTGTTTGAATGAGTGACTCCCAATCAGAGGTAACGAGTGTCAGCTGTCGGCTCGTTATCTCTGATTGGGAGCCATATTTATACTGTCTGTTTTCCCCTTGGGGTTGTGGGTTTTTGTTCCGTGTTCAGTCAGTGTTACTGTGGACTTCACGATCGTGTTTTGTTTTGTACTTGTGCTTTACTAATTAAAGTCATGTTCGTTTCACACGCTGCGCCTTGGTCTACTCCTTCTCGTCAAGACGATCGTGACAGAAAAACCCACCATACAACGACCAAGCAGCGTGTCCAGAAGCAGGCAGCCTGGTCATGGGAGGAAGCGCCAGGAAAGGAGATGGAGAGGCTGGCGATGGCCCAGGTGGGCAAAGTGTGGTCCTGGGAGGACATGCTTGGGGGCAAGGGACCTTGGGGTAGGATCAAGGCCCTGGCGAGAGAGGAGCAGCGGCGTCAGCAGTGCCATCGTCGGACGGACGAGAGGCACCCCCAATAATTTTTTAGGGGGGGGGGCACACGGCATGGGTGACTGGGCAGCAGGAGGCTGCCACAGGGCGAAATAGGAGAAGAGGAGAGAAGGCCACCGGGTTACGGGAGCCATTGGCGAGAGGAGGGAAGGAAGTCGTAGAGGCACGGCGAGAGGGACTGAGGTGTATTGCCAGTCCGGTCCGGCCCGTTCCTGATCCCCGTTTAAAGCCAGTGGTGTGTGTTCCCAGTACGGTCCGGCCTGTCCCTGCTCCACGCACCAAACCTACGGTTGTGCGTCGCCAGCCCCAGCCCGGCCTGTTCCCTGCTCCACGCATCAAACCTACGGTGTGCGTCGACAGCCCTTGCCCGGCCCGTTCCTGCTCCTCGCACCAATTCTACGGTTGTGCGTCGACAGCCCTGCCCGGCCTGTTCCTGCTCCACGCACCAAACCTATGGTGTGCGTCGCCAGCCCTGCCCGGCCTGTCCTGCTCCACGCACCAAACCTACGGTGTGCGTCGCCAGCCCAGCCCGGCCTGTTCCTGCTCCACGCACCAAGCCTACGGGGTGCGTCGTCAGCCCTGCCCGGCCTGTTCCTGCTCCACGCACCAAACCTACGGTGTGCGTCGCCAGCCCAGCCCGGCCTGTTCCTGCTCCACGCACCAAGCCTACGGGGTGCGTCGTCAGCCCGGCCCGGCCTGTCCCTGCTCCACGCACCAAACCTACGGTGTGCGTCGACAGCCCTGCCCGGCCTGTTCCTGCTCCTCGCACCAAGTCTACGGTGTGCGTCGACAGCCCTGCCCGGACTGTTCCTGCTCCACGCACCAAGTCTACGGTGTGCGTCGACAGCCCTGCCCGGCCCGTTCCTGCTCCTCGCACCAAGTCTACGGTGTGCGTCGACAGCCCTGCCCGGCCTGTTCCTGCTCCACGCACCAAACCTACGGTGTGCGTCGCCAGCCCTGCCCGGCCTGTTCCTGCTCCACGCACCAAACCTACGGTGTGCGTCGCCAGCCCAGCCCGGCCTGTTCCTGCTCCACGCACCAAGCCTACGGGGTGCGTCGTCAGCCCGGCCCGGCCTGTCCCTGCTCCACGCACCAAACCTACGGTGTGCGTCGCCAGCCCTGCCCGGCCTGTTCCTGCTCCACGCACTAAGCCTACGGTGTGCGTCGCCAGCCCAGCCCGGCCTGTTCCTGCTCCACGCACCAAGCCTACGGGGTGCGTCGTCGGCCTGGTCCAGCTCGTGCCTGCTACTCGCACCAAGCCAAGGGTGCGAGTCGTCAGCCTGATCCAGGCCATTCCTGCTACTCGCACCAAGCCAAGGATGCGAGTCGTCAGCCTGGTGAGGTCCGTTCCGGCTCCACGCACCAAGCCAAGGGTGCGTATCGTCAGCCAGGTCCGGTCCGTGCCTTTCTCACGCGCCAAGCCAGGGGTGCGCGTCGTCAGTCCGGTGCCTGATCAGGTCAGCTACTCCACTACGGAGTTTGAGCAATCCGCTCCGTCTATGTCCGGTCCAGATCCAGCCAGCGGGGTCAGACCGGACCGGGGGCGCTACGGGGGGATTGTGGAAGGGTGGTGGTCAAGCCCGGAGCCGGAGCCGCCTCCGAGGAGAAATGCCCACCCAGCCCTCCCCTGTTTGGGGTTTTGAGGCGCGGTCGCAGTCCTGCGCCTTTAGGGGGGGGTACTGTCACGCTCTGGCTCCGGGACTTTGTATGTTGAGCCAGGGTGTGTTCGTTTCGTGGTGTTCTGTTTGGTTGGGTTGTTCTATGTGGTTGTATTTCTTTGTTTGAATGAGTGACTCCCAATCAGAGGTAACGAGTGTCAGCTGTTGGCTCGTTGTCTCTGATTGGGAGCCATATTTATACTGTCTGTTTTCCCCTTGGGGTTGTGGGTTTTTGTTCCGTGTTCAGTCAGTGTTACTGTGGACTTCACGATCGTGTTTTGTTTTGTACTTGTGCTTTACTAATTAAAGTCATGTTCGTTTCACACGCTGCGCCTTGGTCTACTCCTTCTCGTCAAGACGATCGTGACACTGAGAGAACATTTAGCAGTTTTAAAGCTAATTTCCTACAATTGTATGCATTTTGCCATGGCTAATGCTGTGTTATTTTAATCAAACATAATAACAAAATCTATATTGCTAAATTCATTTTTGTAATTTGTTATGTCCAATTCTACCTGACTGTCTAGCTTTTATGTTGGTGATTGTTAGTCCTCAAATATTATATTATACAAAAATATATAGGTCCATTATCTCGTCTACTGGTTTTAATCATTTAAGTTTACACTGAAAGGGTTTCTCCATCCTGAAAATGAATTTCTAATTATTATATATATTTTTTAGGTGACCCGAACTAACGCTTGACCTGTAGTCATATGCAGTATGTAGCAATGTCAAGTCAACAAAAGTCTTCGGGAATTGTAAATGTAATGTTGGGTTGTCTGTTGTGAGTATGTCCAAGTCAAGAGTGACAAAGTGTTACGAAATTACACCAACAGCTTGACAACAACACAAACAAACAAGTGAATCATTCAACACCAACAACACGACCAGAAGAAACCAACTAAATTATTCAGATGTCACAGAGAGAGAATCAGGAAGAGAGCAGCATCGTCATTACCCTTAGATCTTAACGCTGTCTGTCCCATACACGTTGTAGCCTTCTCTGTATGTGGCAAAGTTCTGGGGGTTGGTCGGGGGAGCTGGCTTAAATTTCTCAGCATTCTTTGCTAGTTTGAGCCGTTTGGTTTCAGCACGTGATTTGTAACAGAACTCAATCAGAGCCACCATCATGGCCAGCCCCAGCCCTCCAACCAGAATATAGAAGACTCCAGCCACATTGCTCAGGCTGAGAGCACTTGTCTTGTCCTGGGGAAGGTTGAAGAACATAGTTAGAGGGTTTGCGGTGGAGAGAGTTTTGTAGAGAACAGCAGCCTACCAGTATGCCAATAAAGCAGATCTATATCTATATATCTATAGGCCTCAAACTGATCCTTACATAGTCTTGTTGAAATAACAGTCAAAGACCTAACAATCAGAACTCACATGGATACTCTATAACTAGACCCTCCTACAAACTCTCTCTCTGAGACTGAAACATTTCTGATGCTACCAATGGCAGATCATACTACAGACTCCAGAGGCAAACAGCAACAGAAGGTTGACAAAGTAAAGGATGGCTGAGGTTGACTCTAGAAGAGGTCTAGATTGGACTGGCTTTCCTATAGTGGTCCAAGAAGTTGTGAGGAACATCTGAACACCATAGTCAGACCACTCTCCAATGAAGGAGAGACAAGTCACCACTTTATGTTTGATCTAGGTGAATGTAAAGCTTCCCCTACTCTACATGTCTTCTTCCATATAAGGAAGCTGCGGTCAGTAACTCACAGGTCAACATTTCAAGCCCTGTCCTGAAAAAAAAAATGTCTTATAGTAAGCTGTGATACTGTGTAGTCAAATCTCTCTGACATCAAAAAAATCCCAAAAGCCATTTTAAGAACGGAATCAAACCATTATGCTGCTGCTTATTTCCCAAACATGTTTATTGAAAATTTGTTCATGAGAGTTTTACCGTTTGCAGTTTAACCCTTTGAGATTTGACTGAGGTTATACCTGTGGTAATACGTAGCTAAGCCGTCGAGGGTACAGATAGTGATCTGTTAGTTCATTAGCCTGGCTACGGTCTCAGAGGGTTGAATGAGAGGTTTTATTACATTAATAGAAACAACAAGATCTCTTCATTGCAACTCCTTGCTCAGACAAAGACTTGAAAAACAACCCCACGGTGTTTTAACGTCTTCCTGAAGTTAATTGATCACAACACTTTGTTTGTTTACCACAGGAGGTTAAAGAACCCAATAGATACATTTCCATGTAACCTAGTAACAACACAGATAAATCAAATTTTAATTAAGAGTTTAGTAAATAGAAACAGCAGCATAATGGTAAGAATATTATGAATGTCAAGTGTGAAAATGAGCGAAAATAGCACTCAATATCAACAGCCAGTCAACAACTATTCAATGATGGTGTTTGATTATTTTACACATTTACAGTTTCCCCAAGCAAAGTCTAATGTAATTTACAGTTTGTGAGGAAAAAAGGAGTTCATATTTCTATAAAAATTACTTTAACATTTACGTTGGTAAAAAAAATGACAAACTATTTTTCGGATATGATTTGAATTGGGGAAATAGTGCATGATGGACTTGAGCCACTTGTTCATTTTTGTTACATGTATGTGGCAGAATTTTGTTTTTGTTTTGTTTGAATAAAAAAATCATATAATAAGAGGTAGGGGGATATATAGTATAGCTAATCTTAATGTTTCAGTATAGTTTAGTATTTGTTCATATGAACACTGGGAATCAGTACAGAAGACCTGCGGAGACTGACCTTACTTCCAGAGTCCTTGGTTCCACATTCACCCTTATCGTACCACCATTTGTTTTTCAGCTTGTCTAAGATGCCTTGTTCACTGAGTTTCAATACGGCAAGGTTTACAGGAGTTCTTCACGTGGGAAATAACATAAATAACATCATATTATGTTATTTTATGTTATTCATAACTTTATAGCTTGCATAACGTCATAACAAAGCGATCGAGCAGGACTCCTGGCCATTGTCACATCACAGAGAGCAGGCATTTTAGTCTATTACCTTGTCGTCATTGACCAGCCCTAGTCTAGGGCCAGGGCCTGCTCCTATCGCTTCGAGTAATCGGCAGACGCTGGTAACAGGACGAGCCGGTACTGACTGTACACTCTGCTGGTCTGGTAGTATCTAAAGCTGAGGAAGGTATTTGTTTGTGGGCACAGCAGGGTAGCTTTCTGACCAGCACTTAACAAGTTTGATCCAACTAGAACCTTCTCTTGACTAACAGTAACAGTAAAGGACTACAACAAAAACGTTGACCTGAACTTTTTCCAAGGCGGTAGAAGCAGAGGCTAGAAGACCTCCTACTGCAACATACAAGGGGCTGAGTTGGCAAGCACTGCTAAAGACTCAGCA